TTCCACGTGAGGGAGTTGTCCCGACGTCTTCAACCACGGCTGCCGCCGTCATGTTGACCTTTGACGATCAAGGCTTGAATGATGTTGAGAACTCTCGGGAGTACATGGCTGCAGTTGAAGGTTGGGGTGATCCGACGAACATGCCGACTGATGACGGCATCTGGGGGGCTGACGAACCTGATGAAACAACTTGGGGCGAGACACCTGCTGAACGCGATGCTCGTCTTCTCGCTGAAGCTGAACAACGCATCGCTGAAATGGAGATTCTTGACTCGGGTCGTCTCGTTGGAGTTGAACCTGTACCTGCAGCATCCGATCAAGAAAGCGGCGAGTTAGTACTTGCTCCAGGCGAGTACGTGGATGTTGAGGTTCGTGTTCCACCACCAAATCTTACTCGTTACGTCGCACCTGCTTTCGATCAGATCCGCTCCGATGGTCATCAGCTTCTGTTGTCGTTCTTCGCTAACGCCGAGTACTATCTGCGCGCACAAGGTTGTTAGAATATATCTGTAACTGCCTGTAGCTGTAGTTAGTGTAGTTATTATAAACTTTGTTAGGTGGTGCACCTTCTTTGTTCATTTGCTATATGTTCTTGCAAACCTATAGTGAAGTCATTCACTCTCCTTACCCAATTCTCTCGACACTAAGCTACTAAGCCCATGGCTCCTAAGCCCACTCATGCTTAGGATTCTGACAAAGGTCACAAAGCCACGGGAGAAACATGGCATAAACGACTTGGTCATCCGTCGCAGTTTACGCTAAACAACACGATCAAGGCTGCAGTGCTTGACAAAAATTCGTTACTCTTACCGAGCGGTCTCGAACTGAAGCCGGTGAATCGCCCGGCACCCTGCACCATCTGCCCTGCGGCAAACCTACCGCACGAGCCGTTCCCGACTCATTTCCCTGGAGCTGACGATTATCAACTGATGGATAAGGTTTACAGCGATATACTTAACTTACCTGAGGATGGTTTCAACGGCGAACGCTACGTTATCACATTTACAGACGCTTCTACTCGTTACGTTTGGACTGGAAACATGACTAACCGTTTTCTTGCGTTTACAGCTTTTCGCACCTGGCTTCCTCTCGCCGAACGAGAGTCTGATACTAAGCTCAAGGCGTTTCAGTGTGACGGCGCCGGCGAGTATCGCAGTACTGAGTTCACGGCCTATCTGCAAGAACGCGGGATAAGACGACTTTTTTCGTTGCCTCACGCTCATCAGCAGAGTGGCGTAGCAGAGAGGCTCAACAGGACTCTGCAAGAGAAGATGCGAGCCCTTCTTGCCCAGGCTCAACTCGGCCCACTCTACTGGCCTTTCGCCATGGACCATGCAACGCTGTTGCACAATCTTCTTTCGTCCTCGGCCCTGCCCAACAACGCATCACCCCACTTGCTGTGGACGGGCAAGTTGGGTACCACTAAATTACTTCGTGTTTTCGGGTGTGTTGTTCAGTACCGTCCTCCTACCGCTCCGCTCGGGAAGTTCGATCAGCGTGCTAAGTGGGGACTACATCTCGGCATTGAAAAACAATATTTTGCCTGGCGTATCATGGATTACCGCAGCCGTCTTCTTGTTCCTGCTCGCGACTGTATTTTCTACGAGAATCTGACGCTGCCCGTCTTCGAACAGCATCTTGCCATGCAGCAAAACCCTGCCACGCTTTTCCACGGTGTTCGTTCGTTTGCTAACGCCGATGTCGAAATTGCTGCCAGCGAAGAACCTGACTCTGACGGTGCACGTGAAGCTGCTCCCGACCCACCTGTCCCCGTCACGTCATCTGGAATTCCGGAGTTTATTCCTCTTGCTGACGCGGCACCTGAGGATGTCCGCGAAGTTCATCATACTTACCTCGTGGATGAACAACGCCAACCAATGCCGGTGGTTTCTGATAGCAGCATCCGTGTCAACCCTGACGAAATTGGGGGGGCAAGTGGAGACCAGAATGATTCTGCCAATTTCGCAGGTCGTCCCGACGATAATCCACATTATCAGACCGGACTGCAAATTCTGGGACTCGCAGCAGCGGTACAGCACAGTTCTACAGTAAATTTGGAGCCGAAAACTGCCCGACAAGCTCTCTCAGGGCCTCATCGCGAAAAATGGCGTGAAGCGATTGATCGCGAACTGGCTGCCCTGGAGAAAAGGGGAACTTGGGATCTTATACCCATTGAAAAAACGGTAAACAAAAATGTTCTTACCGGTAAGTGGGTCTTCAGGGTGCAGACTAAAGCGGATGGTACTTACGAGAAACACAAGGCACGATGGGTGGTTCGTGGTTTTGATCAGACTCATGGGATCGACTACACACTTACCTTCGCTCCGGTCAGTCGACATACGAGTGTTCGACTTGTTCTTTGCGAAGCAGCCGCGAAGAATTTTCCACTTCGACAAATTGATGTTTCCAACGCCTTTCTGTACGCTGACGTCGATGCCGAAATCTACGTCGAATATCCGCACACATATCCGACAAATCCGCCAAGTGTCTGCAAGCTCAAGAAATCACTGTATGGCATCAAACAAGCACCGCGACTGTGGCAGCAGCATTTGAACAGGAAGCTGATGGAGGTTGGGTTTCGACAACTGCCGCACGATCCCGGGATGTACCGGCTAGACGACAAGGGGAGCTATGCGTTGTTAGTGGCTTACGTGGACGACATCCTCTACGTCAGCTCGTCTACTTCGCTGGGAGATCGTATCGAAGCCGATCTGAAGAAGTCACTTGACTTAACCATTTCCACCAAAGTAACTCAATTTCTGGGGTTAAACGTTTCGCGAACTTCTTCCGCTATTCATCTCACGGCTTCGAAGTATGCGGAGTCACTCGCTAAGCGTTTCAACATTTCCACGGATTTCGTTGCTACACCTTATCGGTCTACACTCACTGGGCACGTTCCCAATCTGAAAAATTTGTCAGCAGATGGTCTTCAACTGTATCAGCAGCAGCTGGGATGTCTTCTTTTCGCAGCAGTCACTTGTCGCCCTGATCTTGCCTACGTCGCAAGTCACCTTGCGCAGTTTTTACGCTGCCCGAAAGAAGAACACTCTCTCGACTTACAGCGTGCGTGTCAGTAGAGCTACACTGTGAGATCCCCGAACGATCCTAGGGGGGGTTAACAGGCGCGTTTGCCTGGGGGGTTATGGGCGCACTGACCCGCTACTGAAACAAGCCCTTTTATCCCAGTGGTCTAGTGGTTGGGATTCTGACATGGTATCAGAGCGATCTCGGGTTCGAATCCCGGTGTATGCACATGTTGGCCGTTGCCACTGTGCTCAGTCCTGGGCCTCCCAGTGTGGGGGGGTGTCAGTAGAGCTACACTGTGAGATCTCCGAACGATCCTAGGGGGGGTTACAGGCGCGTTTGCCTGGGGGGTTATGGGCGCACTGACCCGCTACTGAAACAAGCCCTTTTATCCCAATGATCTAGTGGTTGGGATTCTGACAGTGCGCTACGCTACTTCGTCTCTACACCAACACTCGGATTGATTTTCAATGTTGGGAAGCTGACCGACAAAATGTACCTCAGCGGGTACGTTGACGCAAACCACGCTGGCGACACGTCAGATCGACGGTCACGCACGGGTTATATTTTCCGTCTCGAGCCGATTGGTCCGATTTCCTGGAATTCCTCGAAACAGGAACTGGTGTCACTTTCATCGGCTGAAGCAGAATTCATCGCCGCTTGTGCTGCAACTCGCGAAGGTCTGTACCTGCAGGAGTTACTTGACGAAGCAAAATTCGTCACGCCGAATCAGTTCACGTTGCAGTGCGACAACCAGAGTGCAATTACCATCGCCAACAAGCCTGGTTTCGTCAATCGCACGAAGCATATTTCGCTGCGTTACTTCTTCGTAAAAGACGCGATCGACAAGGGGAGAATGCGCCTTGTCTACTGCCCCACCAGCGACATGGCCGCTGATTCGCTTACTAAGAAGCTGACATGTCAGAAATTTCATCACTGCAACCAGCTCAGTGGCATTTCCGAGTCAACAGGGTGACTACACCGAACTCCTAGAAGTGAAGGGGAGTGTTGAGATAATGTCGAGACTTATGCACTTCAAGGAATTCGTATAGTTAGTACAGTAAAAGTACCGATAGACTGACGTCAGCAAAGCGCTACGCGCCTTAGGATGACGTCATCAGTAGCTGTAGGTATCGCGAATAGTCACGTACCTTTTCAGAACAGGAATAGCGCGAATAAATACAGCACAGTAGGCGAACAGGTACTTTAGTATAGTTATATATTCTGTATGCTTGTCATTTTATAATATACTTGATTTCAGAGACCTTTGATCCTGTTACAAGTCACTCATATAAAAGACTTCCACTGCTACAGGAAGCTACTATCCTAAGACTACGATCCTATTCAAACAGTTCAGATTCTAACATTCACGACACGACCCAACCTCACGATTCCGTTGGTAATCCGCGCTCCGGACCTCCGCCTCGACATTTCCCAACCTTGGCGCTAGGCCCGTAGCGCACCCCAATTTCTCGCTCATTCCTTCGCTCAATGTACTGTTTTGCTTCGGTAGTGCAATTCTCGCTCGCTCGCTCAATTGCACTCGTAACAAGAGTGAATGTTTTCAAACAAAATTGATTTTTCTTTCCACATGGAATACACGTTTACATTCTTTGTCACCATTCCCAAGGAAAATCTGCGGTACAACTATGGTAGCTGAGGACTTACGTGTGTGAATTCGGGAGAGAGGAAGGGGGGGGGGAGGAAATCATATGTGTATAAAAATTATCATACGTTACATGTATGGATACAATAAAGAGCAGGTCAGTGTATAGTATATGTACATCGGAAATGTTTTCGTTCTTGGACAAGAAGATGCATCGCTTGTAAGTTAATTACACATACGGTAATGGCACAAGGCCCCATGCTACGCCACCCAACTGGTGCTAAGAAGGCTCTGAGCGCTCTATGAAGGGATGCAGAGGGGCATGCTGGCGCAGAGGCTGTGAATGCTCTAAGAAGGGATGCAGAGGGGCATGCCGGCGAAGAGGCTCTGGGAGCGGCACATCCAGTTACGGTTGAGCTGGCCCACGAGCGGCGGCTGGCGCTGGAACTGCACCACCACCAGTGACGCACAGCTGTCCCCCGCCCCCACCGTGTACCGCCGGTTCGCCACCGTCTTCGACCGCGCCTTACCACACGCCACCGCTCCCAACGGCGTGCCGGCGACACAGATCTGGGGGTTGGAGAGTGAGGGAGGGAAGGAGGGAGGGATGGTGCGAGACTTGAGCGATTTTTTAGGCGAGTTTTGCACTGCTTTGTCCCTAGTGCCAAACCTGCTCACACCACACCCACTAGAGCCAACCCCCTTTGTGCGGTTGGCCCAGCCTGCTGCTGGCTGGGTTAAATGAGCATGTTTGCACGGTAGATAGCACACCCATGTACCTCCTAGGACGCACCTACAGCCCTTCCGCACTCACCCGAAGAACGATCTCAGTGCCCCACCAACAATCCCCCCTTCACTGGTGTCGTTCCCCTCTCACTTGGGGCTTGTTGAGGCACTGGTGCTCACTTGGCACACAGTGGGATTCGAACCCAAGATCTTTGGCTCTGATACCACTTGTTGGCCCAACCTGCTACCAACTGGGTTAAAAATGCATGTTTGTGTGATGGGTAGCACAACCATAACTCCTCCATGACGCACCTGTAACCCTCCCACACACAACTGGGGAACAATCCTAGTGTTCCACCAACATGTGCCACCCCATTTTAGTCCCACCCCTCTCATAGGTACCTCGAAGCCAGTGAACCCTTAGAGACACCCTCCGTAGCGCCATCCCTCTCATAGGTGCCTCGGAAGCGGTGGGCAAGGTAAGGTTGTCGGGGTTGAGGCGGTACTTTTGAGAATTCTTAAAAGTAGCACCCATATTTGAGGCAGTAGGGGTCGAGCCACGACATGCCCCACGAGTTGATCCCATCCTTCAAGCCAACCCCTCAAGCCACCCCGTAGCGCCATCCCCCCTAACACACCCCCTTTTAGGTACCTCGGAGGCAGTGAGGGCGTTGATGGTGTCGCAGTTGATGCCGGGGTTGCATGCTTCGTTGGCCACCCCCTCTTGGCCACCCCCCCTAGGCCAACCCCTCTAGGCCACCCCCACTAGTAGTTGATCCTACACCCTTCTAGGTACCTTGGAGGCAGTGAGGGCGTTGATGGTGTCGCAGTTGATGCCGGGGTTGAGGTCCCTTCTAGCCCACACTTCTAGACCCACACTTATAGGCCCACACTTTTGGGGCCACATTTCTATTCCCACTTCTAGACCCACACGTATAAGCCCACACTTTTTGGGCCCACATTTCTCTTCCCACTTCTAGACCCACACTTATAGGCCCACACTTTTGGGGCCACATTTCTATTACCACTTCTAGACCCACACTTATAATCCCACACTTTTTGGGCCCACATTTCTATTCCCACTTCTAGACCCACACTTCTAGGCCCACACTTTTGGGCCCACATTTCTATTCCCACTTATAGACCCACACTTCTAGGCCCACACTTTTGGGCCCACATTTCTATTCCCACTTCTAGACCCACACTTTTAGGCCCACACTTTTGGGGCCACATTTCTATTCCCACTTCTAGACCCACACTTCTAGGCCCACACTTTTGGGCCCACATTTCTATGACCTGCGTTGAGTCCTGTTGACCTGCGTTGACTCCTGTTGACCCGTGTTGACACACGTTGACTCTCATTGACATGCGTTGACTCCCGTTGACATGCGTTCGCGTTGACTCCTGTTGACACACGTTGACTCCCGTTGACACTTGTTGACTCCTGTTGACTCATGTTGACCTGTTTTGACTGCTGGCGAAGTGCGTTGACTGCTGTTGACCTGTTTTGACTCTGTCGGCATGCGTTGACTCCCCCCTTTTTTGCAGGTTCCTGCTGGGCGTACGCGGCAGCCAGGGCGATCCAGGCCGCATATGCTAAAGTCGTGGAAACGGACCTAACTCGTTCCCCACAACAGCCTCGCATCCCTCCCCAACCCATCCTCCCCCCACCCCGTCCTTCTCCCCGCTTCTCGCCCCGGCCCCTGATGGGCGTACGCAGCAGCCAAGGCGGTCCAGGGCGCGTATGCCAAACTCACCCTCCCTTCCCCCCCTCCCTCCTCTCCCCTCCCTCTCCTCGCCCAGGGTCTTGCTGGGCGTACGCAGCAGCCAAGGCGGTGCAGGGCGCGTATGCGAAGCTCAAAGAGACGGACGATGATGTGTTCCCCAGCGGGACTCGGCTGTCGGTGCAGCAGCTGGTGGACTGCACTGGTACTGCTGCCTCGTGCCGGGGGGGGTACCCCGAGGCTGCCCTGCAGTATGCGGCAAAGTTCGGGCTGCAGAGTGAAACAGAATATGAGTATACTGGGGTTGGCGGCAAGTGCAGCACCAAGAAGGATGCGGTGAGTTTTGAGTCGGTACCCGGAATGCTCCTCGGTACCCGAAATGCACCTCGGTACCCGGAATGCACCTCGGTACCCGAAAATGCTCCTCGGTACTGTGAAGCTGCGGTGCAGTATGCCGTGAAGAACGGGCTGCAGAGTGAAGAGAGAGAGATGCTCACAGAGTGAGAGAGCGGTCAGCGGGAAGTGCAGCACCAAGAAGGCAGCGGTGAGGTGAGATCGTTTTGAGTTGCTCTCTTCCTTACATGCGCTTTCTCTTCCCTACCACCCCGCACCTCTCTCCACCGTTCTCAGGACAAGTGGAACACCTCGATGTACGAGCAGGTGCCACTGCCGGGACCCCTCTTTCTCGTGTGCTGTTCCCTCTTTCTCATCACATCCGTGCTCCCTCTCCCTCCCCTACCGCCCCTCACCCCTCTCCACCGCTCTCAGCAAAGGTGGAACATCAGCATGTACGAGCAGGCGCCGCTACCGGGGCCGCTGGGGCTCATTCTCGCGCTGCAGAAGCAGCCCGTTATCGTCACCATCCGCGCCTCCTCCCAAGACTTTATCGACTACTCGGTGAGTTTGGTGCTCTGCCGCTGCCGCTGCTGCTGCCGCTGCCACTGCCGATGCCGCTGCCGCCACTGCCGCCGCCGCCGCCGTTGCCGCCGCCGCCGCTGCTGCTGCTGCTGCTACTGCTGCTGCTGCCGCCATACAGTCTTAGAGGAATTCAACCACTCTTCCCTCCTTCCCACCCACCCACCCTGCTTCCCTCCCTCCCCCAACAGGAAGGCATATACCAGGGCTGGGACTGCTACAGCCCCGTGGGGGAGGTGTGGGGGGACACGCAGGGCCAGGGGCTCAGAGCGACAGCCACAGCCACCAACAACACGGGGCTGCTGGACCACGTGATGCTGGCCGTGGGGTATAACTATGACTCTCCGGGCAGCTTCTATAATTACTTCATTCTGAAGAACAGCTGGGGGCCGCAGTGGGGCGAGAATGGATACATGCGGATTCGCATGGAGGGGGGCGCGTTTGGCACATGTGGCATGCTGGTGAATCGCGGGCTGTACCCCGTTGTGAACGGTGAGTGAGGCTCCCCTTTTCCGGGGTGAAATACTCGGTGTGCTGTTCGGCACGTGCGGAATGCTGGTGAACCATCCAATGTTGAGAACCATCCGAGGGCTGTACGCTGTTGGGAATGTTGAGGAAGCCATCCAATTCCACTTTTTGCCCCCTTGTACTTGTTTATTTCTTTAATTGTTGTTGTTGTTTTTTTTTGTTTTTTCAATTATTTTTCTCTTTTCCCTTCCCTATTTCGTTCTTTCTTTCTCATTCTGAAGGTGCAATGGGATCCAATCCCGCTCAATTCTCTCGTTTTTCCCTCGTTCCCCTCTTCTCCTCCTTACTCTTCCCACCCATACCCCTCGCCAGCCCGCCAGAGCACGGGCCCTGCAGCATATCGCTGTGTGGGGGGGGCACATGTGTGATTGACAAGAAGCGTCACCCTTCTTGAAAACTCCCTCCTTTCCTTCTTTCCTCCTCTCTCCACACCCCCTACCCCCTCGCCAGCCCGCCAGACCACGGACCCCTGCGGCACGTCACCCTGTGGGGGCGGCACGTGTGTGGCGGACGGGAGTGGCAACGGCAAGTACACGTGTCAGTGCTCGGACCTGCTAGCGCCCGCTGTCAACCGCGACGGCACACCCACATGCACCATCGGTGAGTGGGCTTTTGTGTGCTGGGATGGGAGGCGTAGTTTGACCCATTGGGGTGCTTTGACTCTTGGAATGCTCTCGTGGTTTTGCTGCCCTGCTTAGAGGATATAAATGGTGGTCGGGATGCTGCTGCTGCTTCTTCTGCCCCATGCCCCATGCACGCAACGACGCATGCTCCCCAGCTTGCTTTTTGAGTCGAATAAAAAATTGGCGGTCGGGAAGCTGCTGCTTCTGCCCCATGCCCCATGCCCCATGCCCCATGCACGCAATGACGCATGCCCCCCAGCTTGCTCGCTTCGCCCCTCCTCGATAGATTTAACTTCATGTCCTCCACCCGCCCCTCCCACACAGGCGATGTCTGCAGCATGCTGCCTAACAAGCCATGCTCCGTTGGGCGATGCAGTGCATCTCAGCAGCACCAAACAGCACCCCTCTCTCACCCGTCCACCCGTCTGCAGCATGCTGCCTAACAGCACCTACCCCGTCTCATTCCCCCCACCCCTCTCTCATCCCCCATCTCCACCACTCCCTCCCTTTCCAGTCGACGTCTGCAGCATTCTACCCAACAACCCGTGCGCCGTGGGGCAGTGCATCAACAGCGGCGACGGCGGGTATTCGTGCATTTGCCCTCCCAACTACAAAGCCAGCGTGCTCGCCTCTGGCCAGACCACCTGCGTGCCTGGTGAGCGGAGAGAAGAGGAGGACCTCTGCGAAAGGGGTATGGTTTAACGGGGATGAAGCGTAAGGATATATATCTATCTATCTATATATATATGTATTTGTATATATATTTGGTACCTATTCATCCGTTTGAATGCACTCACAATATGACATCCCACGGCCCACACGTGACACATTTCATCACACACATCCCATCGCACACATCCCATCACACACATCCCATCACACACATTCCATCGCACACATCCCATCACACACATGCCATCGCACACATCCCATCGCACACATCCCATCGCACATATCCCATCGCACACATTTGATCCATCACATGGGCAGGTGCTCATGTGAACGAGTGTGTGAGCCATAGAAGCTTTGTTTAGGCGAGCTGCAGTCTAGAAAAAATCTTTAGCAAGTGATAGTCAGTAGTAAAAAGTTTGACCCTTTGAAAAACCAGGAATTTCCACTATTAAAGTTTGACACCCATCACTATCCCATCCCATCCCATCCCATCCCATCCCATCCCATCCCATCCCATCCCATCCCATCCCATCCCAACCCATCCCTGGCATGGCGGTGATTTCAACGAGTGCAGCTCCAGCAGTCCAGAGGACGTACACAGTGCAGGGCGGGGAGAAGTGTGCCGCTATCTCTGGCCTCATCGGCCTCACCCAGGAGCAGTTCCTCCTGCAGAACCATGTAAGGGGAGCGATGAGAGTGGCAAGATTGATGAGAGATATGAAAGAAGTTCCTACAGCAGAAGGAGGTGCGAGCAGAGAGAGAGAGAGAGATATGAGAGAAGTTGTTGCTGCAAATGAGGTACATGGAGGGATGAGAGCAATAAGAGTGTGAAGGGCAGCTGCTGCCACAGTATGGGTACGAGCAGTGGTGAGAGCAATGAGAGGGATGAAAACGATGAGTGTTGAGTTGGGTGGGCAGGGTTTAGGGTTAGTGAGCAGGGAGAGCGACAGGAGCTTTCTCATCCGCTCTCATCACTTTGCCCTTGCCATTCGCTTACCCTACCCTAATTTGTTTCCTCATTCCCTTCTCTCTTCCAACCCCTGCTCTCCATCCCTCAGGGAGTGGACTGTGACAATCTCAAAGCAGGTCAGCTTCTCAACATCTCCATCCCCTCCTCGGCTCAAGTGTGCCGCGTGCGCTACACTGTCACCCAGGTGCGTTACATGTCTCTCGTTACATGTCACTGAGGTACGTTACATGTCGCTGAGGTGCGTTACATGTGCAGTACTCTGTCAACCAGGTGCGTTACATGCCTCCAAGGTGTGTTACATGTGCGCTACTCTGTCATCAAGGTGCGTTTCTTTTCAAATAGATGCGTTGACATGTGAGCTACTCTGTTCACCCATATGTGTTACATCTCGCCCAGTTGCGATACATGTTTCCCAGTGCGTTACAATTGCGTTACATGTGCGTTACTACGTCACCCAGGTCGGTGCCTACATGTTTCCCAGTTGCGTTACATTTCTCCCAGGAGCGTTTCATGTCTCTTCGGTGCATTACAAGTTACCAGGTGCGTTACATGTCCCCCTCTCCCCCTCCCTTCGCATCCCCTTCCTCATTCCCCTCAGGCGGATGCAGCAGCAAAGAGCTGTGATCCCATCATCACCCTCTTCGGTATGGATGTCACGACCATCAACTCATGCTTCTTACCCCCTCCTCTCCTCTCTTTTCCTACTTCCCTCCACCTCCCCCTCCCACTCCCCCTCCCCCTCCCCCTCCCCCTCCCCCTCCCCCTCCCCCTCCCACTCCCCCTCCCCCTCCCCTTCCCCCTCCCCCTCCCCTTCCCCCTCCCCCTCCCCCTCCCCCTCCCACTCCCCCTCCCCCTCCCCCTCCCCCTCCCCCTCCCCCTCCCACTCCCACTCCCCCTCCCCCTCCCCCTCCCCATCTCCCTCCCCCTCCCCCTCCCCCTTCCCCTCCCCCTCTCCCTCCCCTTCCCCTTCCCCCTCCCTTTCCCCCTTTCCGCTCCCCTCTCACCCCAGGCGGATGCAGCGGCACAGAGCTGTGATGCCATCAACGATCGCTTTGGCATAGACGTAACGACCATCAACCCCAGCCTTGACTGCACAAGCCTCACGTCCAACCAGCAGGTGAGGCGAGTGGGGAGCAGGGCGCTCTCACTGGTGTGCCAAGGTAGGGGAGGGAATGGGGAATCAAGGGGATGTCATGGGCTTTAACCTTGTTTGCATCAACAGCATGAGCGTCAACATCAGCAATTGGCCTAGATGCCCCGCTCTCCCCTCTGGCCTCTCTAACACGGCATGACCATCAACCCCAGCCTCGACTGCTCAAGTGTTTTGAGACGTCTCAAAACACTTCTGTTATCACGTCAGCAATTGGCCTAGACGCCCCATGTTAGTGTTAACCCTCAATCTCACACTTTGTATTTGTACTTTCTATATCCTAGTGTAGTTTAGTTTGCAGTTAGTGTTTGGTTGGGTGTACACCTACATCCCAACCAAACCCAAATGTGATCTCCAAGCAATCTCCAACCCACCAATTGGAGATTGCCTTGAGATTACCCCCAATTCCTAGAGATTTCCCTCGATTCCCTTCCCCATCCTTTCCTTGCCTATCCTGGATGTACTTAAAGAGCTTCGAGCTCATTTCTAATGCATGGATTCTAAGCTTAATTTTTGACACCCCGCTCTACCCTCCGGCCTCTCTAACACTGCATGACCATCAACCCCATTCTCGACTGCTCAAGCTTCCCACTCTTCTCTCCTCTCCTCTCTCTCCCCCCCTCTGCAGATCTGCATTCAGGTGGGGGATGCGGTGTCAGGAGCAGCGGATTAGAATCTCTGCACCAACTACCAGCTGGCCAACCAGTGAGTCACCTGCGCCCCTCTCCTTTCACTGTCCCACGATCTTTCTTGCCCTCACCTCAGATCTGCATTCAAGTTGGAGATGCAGTGTCAGGAGCAGCGGATTACAATCTGTGCACCAACTACCAGCCGGCCAACCAGTGGGTCACCTGCGCCAGCATCGTATCAACGTACGGCATGACGTGGCTCGACCTCTACCGCCTCAACCCCGGCATCAACTGCGACACACTCAGCGCCCTCACTGCCTCTGAGGTAACAATGGGTGGGTCTGGAAGTGGGAATAGAAATGTGGCCCCAAAATTGTGGGCCTAGAAGCGTGGGTCTAGAAGTGGGAATAGAAATGTGGGCCCAAAAGTGTGGGCCTAGAAGTGTGGGTCTAGAAGTGGGAATAGAAATGTGGCCCCAAAAGTGTGGGCCAGAAGTGTGGGTCTAGAAGTGGGAATAGAAATGTGGGCCCAAAAGTGTGGGCCTAGAAGTGTGGGTCTAACGCGGGTGACAGGAGTCAACGCGGGACACAGGAGTCAACGCAGGACACAGGAGTCAACGCAGGACACAGGAGTCAATGCGGGTCACAGGAGTCAACACGGGTCAACAGGAGTCAGCGGTCAACAGCAGTCCACAGCAGCCAACAGCACGCACCGCAGTTGCCCTGGTCGAAATCGTCCTCAGAAAAATAGGAGCTGTGGTCCACGCTCTTATTGAAATCCCAGGTGAGCTTCTGCGAGGCAGGGTCGAGCGTGAGACCCACGGTGAGGTAGCGCGAGACGGTGTTCAGATTGGGCAGCTTGGCGAGATCCTTGGTGGTGGGGGGGACGTAGCCCAGACTGCGGTCTGCCGGTGGAGGAAGAGAGGAGGGACAGGGGAAGGGGGGGAACGGGAGGAGGAAGGAGAGTGAGGGGGAGGCGAGTAGGAGTTCACCTTCCCAAAGCAACTTACCAAAAAAAAAACCACATTTACAATCCCCGCCCGGACTCCCTTGAGAACCGTCGAACCATGCCCTTTATCCCATTCCATCGCACTCCACCCCTCGTTGCGTCCCCCCGCGGCTCTCACCAACGGTTGTGGTGTTCCCGCGCGCGCTGTTCCCCTTGCTCGATCCGCGCCCCTTTCCTCCGCCTCCCGCCGCCTGCTGAATCAGCTTCTGCACGCGCCGCTTCACAGTCGCGAGCCACTTTTGCGCCGCCGCGGCGAACGCGTCCTTAGTTAAGTACGAGGCGCGTTCGGGCGGCTTATCGACGCCCGTCAGGTCCGCGGCGCCCATCAGCGGCGCGAGGGATTTAATCTCCTACTTCGTCTTCGCGTCCACCGCCAGCGCCGCGAGGTCCGATGCCGCCGCGCCAGCTGTCTCGTCGACAGACGTCGCGGTGCCGGCGGTGGTCGCGGTGCCGGCGGAGTCCTCGTTTGTCGTTGTACCGAGTGTGTCAATAATGAGGAGGGGCGTGCGTGGAGGGAAAGGAGAGAAAAGTAGAGCGAGGAAGGAGGGGCTGAGGAGGGTGGAATGTGGGGCGGTAAAGAACTACTTGAAGCAAAGCGCCATTCGGAGGCGGCTACCGCACTTCCGCCGTCGTCCTCCGTGTCTTTCCGTCGCCCAATGTCGTCTAGTACCGTTGCGTACCGTCGCACAGCCTCGTCCACCGTTCCCACCGTCGCACAGCCTCGTCAATGTCATTTAGACTAAGCAGCTAGGGCCGTTTCCTTCCCGATTCCAAACGGAGCGGATACAGTCTTCATTTTACGCGAGCGCGCCACGTTTTGAGATGTCTCAGAGCGGATAATACAGCCTTCATTTCACGCGAGCGCGCCACGTTTTGAGACGTCTCAGAGCGGATAATACAGCCTTCATTTTACGCGAGCGCGCCACGTTTTGAGACGTCTCAGAGCGGATAATACAGCCTTTTCACGCGAGCACGCCACGTCAGCCTAGCGCCGGCATGATAGGCCGCTTACCTATTCGCCGGCCGGCGGCGGCGGGGCCGACAGTTATGATCAGTAAAACTGTTGCTAGCCGAAGCGCGTGGGCTGGAATCGCCGAGCCGCGACGCTCCATCGTGTCACAAGAGGCACAACCTAGTAGTATCGCGCCGCTGTCGCACGGGATGCACAAGCCTGGATAACTGAATCTTTGGGCGCGTGGGCAATCCCGTGTCGGGAGCGCAATGCGAATGAGGAAAAAATGCACGCGGCTCGCCGATGAGTCGGACTGTTGTCGGCGTGGCGAATGTTACGTCTAGTTTATGTCACTTGTACTGACACGTGGCCTCTTTTTGATTTCGTGCGCGATTCACGCTCCTACGGCTCGTTTTTCGTGACGTGTGACGAAAAATCTAGAGGAGTTAGGTAGTAAAAAATAATATTTTCCGAGAGGTAGGCAGGCGTAGAAGGAACTTGAGGAAGATTACCATGCAATGACGAAAACTCGATCGACGTGTTAGGAAGTGACACCTCGAGCAGGTCAAGCGAATCCTTATTTGTACGGGTTCGGCTACGATGACTACTTTTCCCTGCCTATCGCACAAAACTCCTTGCCACACCAGAACCAAGTCGTGTTGTACTTTGTACTCTTGACTCGCCGAAGGTCAGAGCAACTTCAATTCGCGCTGCGGATGATTAGTGGTGCGCCGTGTGCACTGTGCTCCATGGTGTGGTGGACCAGCAGAGCATAGCAGCGTGCTTTGCGGCATGGCAGAACAGCAGCTTGGATTAGGCTGGGCGTGTCCTGCGCACTCACTTCACTCAACATGGGGGACTCAGGTAGAAGACATGAGGCGAAACCAACAGCCACCCCAGGCTCGCTCTGCGAGCGAGTAGCGTCAGGTGAATGCGCAGTCATCCACTGAGGGCTTTGATGCAAAGATTGGCTTGGGCTTGGTTCCAAGTTTGCATGAATCCACTAACAGCCACGCGCGGGCAGATTCAAACACTTCTTACGAGAGACTAGATAGAAAGTTCCACCTTCGAGTGGTGAAAAAGAAGTATGTTTGTAGTCACGAACCATGGCTGATTCTAGCATATTGCATTCAAGGCACAGTGGCGTTTCCCTTTAGCTGCAATTTTATAAACGAGACTTTGTGCAAGTGGAAGAAAATCGTCGCGCCGCTTCAATGAGAAATGTCACCACCTGAAAGGTTGAGCGGCTCGAGGAACCACCTGTGAGCAGCACATCCGATTTTTGCGAGGAAATGACAGATTGCCCTGTTTTCAAGTTTCCGATTCCTTTGGACAGTGGCTTTGACACCGCCTTGCTTCTCCGCTCGCGTCCGATTCATTGGGGCAGCTGATTTCGATATTTCAAATTTCCTGTGACCAGGAAAATTCTGAAGTTTACCTGGCTTTAGTTTAGTGGCCAGTGGAAATAATAAACCCCTCTCGGATGGCTGGCCATTTGGGAGGCATCAACCCTAAACACCTTGCCTCATCGTGTTTAGGGTTGATGCCTCCCAAATGGCATGCCCTCCATGAGGAAATGTATTTTTTTGTCCCGAGCTTCTCGCAATTGAGGCGACAATTCAATTTATGATATCCCGATCAATATACACAATATTAGTCTCTGGACTCGAAAAGGGGCAATAGCGTAAATAACTGACCGAAGGTATCGGACTCGAACGCAAAGCAAGACGGTGTCAAAACCACTGCCGAAAGGAATCGGAAACCCAAAACCAGGGCGGTCCGTCATTCCCTCGATTTCCGCGCTTCCCTTGGGTTCGCCACCGCAATCTTCGGAGTGGAGTATCCAACCTGCGGTTTGGGGTGCGAAACTCCCTTGGTTCGTGGTTCCAGTTCTGTAGGAAATCGATCGATGTCACTATGTAACGCGTGTATATACACTACACTAGCACTGTACGGGACAGCACAGCTCAAGTCAAATGCAATTGCCAGGATTTTGTTTGGTAAGCAGGGAAAAATAATTGTAGGCGAACCCATAGGAATCTGCCCTAGCAGACTCAAGCGAGGTTGGTTTCTTATCCAACTGGCTACTTTGCATTGACGCCGATCGGAATTGCGTCCTATGTAGTGATCTCCTTCAAAATTCTTCACTGCCACTGTCTCCCACAAGTTCCTTCTACGCCTGCCTGGTGTCCATCTCTCAAAACCTCCAGTTTCAGATTCGTTTATGTGGCTGCCTCTCGGCAATTGCCATACACGTTGCGCGGATCGAGCCGCCATAAAAGCTTGACTCGCGACGAGGCCACGTGTCAGTACATGTGGCATAAACCATATATACTGTGCGCCACGGCCGCGGACGCTAGGCCCTAATTCGAAGTCCACGTCGCCTCGACAGCTCGACTCACCCGCGGGCCGCGCGCATTTCTTCCCCCCCCCCCCCCCCCCCCCCTCCGCATCCCGTCCCACGCGCAGTCTTTCCCCCTTCCGCGTTCTGCTCCAGCGCGCATTCTTTCCGCCGTCCGCATTCCGCTCCCGCGCGCATTCTTTCCCCCATCCGCATTCCGCTCCCGCGCACATTCAGCAATAGCGCGTCAGCGTAGTCCAGGCACGCAGCAATCCAGACTCGCGCATTCCGTGCTCCTGCCTGGATTCAGTATCGCACATTCAGTAGTGCTCCAGCGCCGCGATACTACGATTCCTGGGGGGAGTTGTGCGGCCTTCTGAAACCATGGATCGTCGCGGCTCGGCGTGTCCATCCCACGCGCTTCGGCTAGTAGCAGTCTTACTGATCATCACTGTCGCCCCCGCCGCCGCTGGCCGGCGGATAGGTAAGCGTCCTATCATGCTGACGTGGGGCTGACGTGGCGCGGCGCTTGCTAGTAAGAAATTTCGCACCCGCTCCGTTTGGAGTCTGAAAGGAGACGGTGGACAACGCTCGACGACGGTTAGAAACGGTGGACGACGGCGGAAGTGTGGCAGCCGTCCGACAACCAGACCAGCAAGCGCGCTCTTTTTCGCCCCACGTGGCGGCGTTCGCGGTCAGCGCGGCACCGCCGCGACTCTGTGTCTGATCACCATGTCTAGCACCAATTTTCGTGCTTTACCGCGTGGCACCGCATGACGCCGCGCCAAACCCACCTCGCCAATCCCAGGCCGTAAAGTGCAACATTTCACCCTATGCCGCTCGCTTCTTACCACCTCCACCGCCCGTCTTTCCTCCCTTCCCCTTTTTCTTCTTTCCCTCCCCCGCCCTCCCTCCCCCCCCTTTCCCCTCCCGCATCTCCGTCCTCAATACAGACACACTTGGTACAGCGATAAACGCGGACTCTGGCACCGCAACCGCCGGCACCGCGACGTCTGTCGACGCGACAGCTGGCGCGTCGGCATCGGACCTCTCTGCGCTGGCGGTGGACACGAAGACGAAGCAGGAGATTAAAGCCCTCGCGCCGCTGATTGGCGCCGCGGACCTGGCGGGCGTCGATAAGCCGCCCAGACGCGCGTCGTACTTAACTAAAGACGCGTTCGCGACGGCGGTGCGCAGATGGATCGCGAAGGTGAAGCGGCGCGTGCAGGCGCTGCAGAAGCAGATTCGGCAAGCGGGAGGCGGAAGAGGAAACGGGCGCGGAATGAGCACGGGGAACAGCGCGCGCGGGAACACCACAGCTGTTGGTGAGAGTCGGGGGGGGGGGGGGGGGGGGGCGCAACGAGGGGTGGAGTGTGGTGGAATGGGGTGAATGGTATGGGGTTACGCACTGCTGCTGCCATGCGTGCTCAACACAAACCCGGCTTCTCTCCCTCTTCTCTCACTGCTCCTCCCCCATTCCCGTGTGCCCCTTCCCCCCCTCCCCCCCCTCCCCACCGCCAGACCACAGTCTGGGCTATACACCCCCCCCCCCCCAGCACGGATTCAGCTGGAACCGTACCCGCTGTTGCTGCCATGCCTGCTCACACACAAACCCATCGCCTCTCCCTGCTCCTCTCCCTCGCCTCTCCCCCCCCCTCCCCCCACCAGACCCCAGTATGGGCTACACTCCCCCCGCAACCACCCAGAAGCTCAGCTGGAGCCTAAACTGCTGCTGCTGCCGTGCGTTCTCACACAGAAGCCCCTCTTCTCTCCCTGCTCCTGTCCCCTTCCCTCCGCTCCCCCCCCCTCCCCCCACCAGACCCCAGTCTGGGCTACACTCCCCCCCCCATCATGGATCCCGCGAAGCTGCCCAATCTCAACACTGTCTCGCGCTACCTCACCGTGGGTCTCACGCTCGACCAAAGCACCCAGAAGCTCACGTGGGATTTCAAACGCAGCGTGGACCACAGCTCGCTGTATTTACCTGACGAAAATTTCGACCAGGGCAAGTGGACCCTCTACAAGTTATACAAGTTCAACCAGGCTTCCATTTTTTCATTCTCATGGAGTTTGTCTCGCCGTCTGAATAACATCTAAGTTGATGGACATTAGACCTCCGCAGCCCACCTGCTCTATAATAACAGCCGCTGGGGCTTATTCCAAGTGGACCCTCTACTGGAGCCGCGTGCTCAGTGCTTGTCTCAAGCTCTCTCTTCCCTACCCCACTCTGCTCCCCCTCCACTACCGCCCCTCACCCCTCTCCACCGCTCTCTTAAGTGGAACATCTTGATGTACGAGCAGGTTCCACTACCGGGGCCGCTGGGGCTGGCATCTGGACAATGCTCCCTCCTTCTTACCGTGTGCTTTTTCTTCCCTACCACTCCTCACCCCTCTCCACCGCTCTCAGCCCAAGTTCAACATCAGCATGTACGAGCAGGTGCCGCTGCCGGGGCCGCTGGGGCTCATTCTCGCGCTGCAGCAGCAGCCCGTTATCGTCACCATCCGCGCCTCCTCAGAGGATTTCATCAACTATGCGGTGAGTTGGGGGGTTCTGCTCCGGGTGGTGGTGGTGGTGCTGCTGCTGCTGCTGCTGCTGCTGCTGCTGCTGCTGCTGCTGCTGCTGCTGCTGCTGCTGCTGCTGCTGCTGCTGCTGCTGCTGCTGCTGCTGCTGCTGCTGCTGCTGCTGCTGCTGCTGCTGCTGCTAAAGCTGCCGCCGCTGAGCAATTGTTGAGAATTCTCAAAAGTCGCTCACAAGAACATGGCCCCTCTTTCCTCCCCCGTCCCTCCCTCCCCCCTTCCCCTCACAGGGCGGTGTATACCAGGGCTGGGGCTGCTACAACCCGCTGGGGACCATCTTTGAAAGAGGACGGCCGGCTGCCACCGCTACAGCCACCAACAACACGGCTCTGCTGGACCACGTGATGCTGGCCGTGGGGTATAACTATGAGGCGCCAGGCAGCTGGGCGAATTACTTCATTCTGAAGAACAGCTGGGGGCCGGACTGGGGCGAGGGCGGGTACATGAAGATTCGAATGGAGAATGGGCCGTTCGGCACGTGCGGCATGCTGGTGAATCGAGGGCTCTACCCTGTTGTGAAAGGTGAGTTAGCAGCTTCTAACTTTTCCCACTTCTAACCACCCTCTTGCTGCAGATACTTCACCATGTATCTTGCTGCAGATACTTCACCATTTATCTTGCTGCAGATACTTCACCATGTATCTGCGCTCCTTAACCCCCTCTTTTGCGGCGCCTCAAGACTTTCTAAGGCGACTTTTGCGGCGCCTCAAAAGGAATGTTTTGCTGGTACGACACCATATATCTACGCTCCTTGACCCCCGTATTTCCCCCTTTTTCCACACCCCCTACCAACTCGCCCGTCCCCCAGAGCACAGACCCCTGCAGCACGTGCCCCTGTGGGGGTGACACACTCTCTTACGTGCATTGACCCCTCCATTCACTCTTCTAGAAACTCCCTTCCTCCCCTTGTTTCCTCTCTCCACACCCCTCACCATCTCGTCAGTTCCCCAGACCACTGACCCCTGCAACACGTGCCCCTGTGGGGGCGGCACGTGTGTGGCGGACGCGAGTGGCAACGGCAAGTACACGTGTCAGTGCACGGACCAGCTAGCACCTGCTGTCAACCGCGACGGCACACCCACATGCACCATCAGTGAGTGGTCCCTTTGTGGGCTTTGGATGGGTGCACCGTCGGTGAGTAGCAAGTACCTCAAGAGTAGCCCAGCCCATCAGGTGAGTAGCCCATCATGTGAGTAGCCCATCATGTGAGTAGCCCATCATGTGAGTAGCCCATCATGTGAGTAGCCCATCATGTGAGTAGCCCATCATGTGAGTAGCCCATCATGTGAGTAGCCCATCATGTGAGTAGCCCCTCATGTGAGTAGCCCATCATGTGAGCAGCCCAACAACCCGTGCGCCGTGGGCCAGTGCATCAACATCGGCGACAAACACCCTTGTCTCATCCCCCCATTGCGTTCGCCGCTTCCCCGTGTCTCAGCATTCTACCCAACAACCCGTGCGCCATGCGCCATGGGTCAGTGCATCAACATCGGCGACAAACAAGCGTGTCTCATTCCCCCATTGCGTTCGCCACTTCCCCTCCACTCCCTCCCCCGCAGTCAATGTGTGCAGCATTCTACCCAACAACCCGTGCGCCGTGGGGCAGTGCATCAACATCGGCGACGGCGGCTACTCGTGCCTCTGCCCGCCCAACTACAAGCCCAGTGTGCTCGCCTCTGGCCAGACCACCTGCGTGCCTGGTGAGCCTGGGAGTGTGGCGGGCTTTTATGAATGGAAAGCTCGCAGTAGGTGTATTTTTTTGTTGTTTATTTATTTTGTTATTATTACTATTGTTTATTTTATTGTAGCTATAACTGTAATAACTAGTAGTTTACTATCATTATTATTACTATCACTATTATTATTATATCTTATATTACAATATTATTATTATCGGTATTGCTATTACTATTATGAATTGAATCATTCGCCCATCACTATGGACGCACTCACCATATTTGACATGTCTCACACACCCCATGGCAGACATGTCAACGAGTACAGCAGCAGCGGTGCAGGGCACGTACACAGTGCAGGGGGGGGAGACGTGTGGCGCCATCTACGGCTTCATCGGCCTCACCCAGGAGCAGTTCCTCCTGCAGAATAAGGTATGAGTGATGAGCGATTAAAGTGATGAGACAAACAAGGTACCAGCCATGAGAGCAGTTCCTGGCGCAGAACAAGGTAACAGGAGGGATGAGATCGATTCCTTCCTGGCACAGAATGAAGTGCGAGCAATAGAGCGATGGCAGTGATAAGAGCGATGAGAGATATGAGAGCAGTTCCTGGCGCAGAATGAGGTAACAGGAGGGATGAGAGGGATGAGAGGGATGAGAGAAATGAGAGAAATGAGAGAAATGAGAGAAACGAGAGGGAAGAGAGGGACGAGAGGGATGAGAGGGATGAGAGAAATGAGAGGGATGAGAGGGATGAGAGGGATGAGAGAAATGAAAGCAGTTCCTGGCGCAGAATGAGGTGGGAGCAGTAATAAGAGCAATTTCTGTGATAATATATACAGTGAACCGATGGCTTGATTAGAAACGAGAAGGGTACACGTAGTCATGTTCTCGAGAGGGAACCATGTTCCCAACAAGATGTGGTATCTGGCTTTTGTGTCCCCATCCCCCCCTCCATCCTCCCCACTCCCATATCCCCCCACCAGGATTTGGACTGTGACAATCCCAAGGCGGGTCAGGTGCTCAGCCTCTCAACCATTCAACCCCATCCATCCCTCCCCTTTCACCCCTTTCATTCTCCCCCCTCCCCCAAGGCGTGGACTGTGACAATCTCAAGGCAGGCCAGCTGCTCAACATATCGACAACCCCATCCCCTGCATCCCTGCCTGCCGTTCTTCTCCTTACCCCTCCATTCACCCAACCCCCTTCATCCATCAGGGCGTGGACTGTGAGAACCTCAAGGCGGGTCAGCTGCTCAACATCTCCATCCCCTCCTCGGCTCAAGTGTGCCGTGTGCGCTACTCTGTCACCCAGGTGCGTTACATGTCATCCAGGTGCGTTACATGTCATCCAGGTGCGTTACATGTGTGCTACTATGTCATGCAGGTGCGTTACATGTGTGCTACTATGTCATGCAGGTGCGTTACATGTGTGCTACTATGTCATCCAGGTGCGTTGCATGTTGCCCAGTTGCGTGAACATGTCCCGCAGGTGCGTTACAAGTCGCCCACATCCGTTACATCAACCCTTACTTCTCTCTTTCCCTCCTCCCCCTCCCTGCTCATCCCCTTCCTCATTCACCCCAGGCGGACGCAGCAGCAAAGAGCTGTGATCCCATTAATAATCGCTTTGGCATTGACGTAACGACCATCAACCCCAACCTTGACTGTTCAAGCCTCGTGCCCAACCAGCAGGTGAGGGGAGCGGTGCAGAGTGGTTGCAGTGGTGTTACAGGTGGTGAGGGTGGTGGGGAGTGGGGTTATTGGAGAAGCAGGTAAGGGAGATGATAACTTTTTGAGTCAAATCAAACACGGGACCACTGAGGCAGCAGTCGAGGGAGTGGGGTGGGGCGGCAAAATAGGCTTTTAGCGCGTTCGCTTTGATGCCGCGAGCGTTAACGTCAGCGAGTGTCTCACGTGCTCCCCTCTGCCCTCTTGCCTCAAGAACCCTCTCGTACCCTCTCCTACCCTCTCCTTCCCTCTCCTTCCCTCTCCTTCCCTCTCCCACTCCCCCCTTCCTCACATCTGCATTCAGGATAAGGTGTCAGGAGCAGCAAGATACAGCATGTGCACGAAGCACCAGCCAGTCATTCATTGGGTTACCAGCTCTCTTCTCCTCTCTTCCCTCTCAAACCTTCCCTCACCCTCTCCTCACTCTCTCATCTCCTCCTCCCCTCTCTGCAGATCTGCATTCAGGTGGGCGACGCCGTCTCAGGAACAGCGGACTACAACCTGTGCACGAGCTACCAGCCAGTGACTCGCCGCCTCCCGTGCTCCCTTCCTCTCTCCCCCTTCCTCAGATCTGCATCCAGGTGGGGGACGCGGTGTCAGGAGCAGCAGACTACAACCTGTGCACGAGCTACCTGCCAGTCAACGAGTGGATCACGTGTGCCAACGCTGTGGATTGGTACCAAATCTCATGGTTCGACCTCTACCGCCTCAACCCCGGCATCAACTGCGACACGCTCACAGCACTCACCGCCTCCGAGGTGCCTATGAGGGACGGTGCTAGATAGGAGGGGTAGCGCTGTGAGAGGTGTGATTCAGTTGGTACCAAATCTCATGGTTCGACCTCTACCGTCTCAATCCCGGCATCAACTGTGACACGCTCACAGCACTCACCACCTCCGAGTTGGCCCAGCCTGCTACCGTCTGGGTTAATAGGGCATGTTTGTATGATGGGTAGCACAACCATATACCTCCCAGCACGCACATCTAGCCCTTCCGAACTCAAGTGAAGAACGATCTCAGCGCCTCACCAACAATCTCCCTTTTACTGGGGTCGTTCTCCTCTCACTTACGGCTCGTTAGGGCACTGTGCTCATTTGGCGCACACTGGGATCGAACCCAAGACCTTTGGCTCTGATACCAATGTTGGCACAGCCTGCTACGGACTGGGTTAAAAGGGCATGTTTGTATGGTGGGTAGCACACCCATAACCCCCCAGGCCGCGCCTGTAGCCCTCCCTCACTCAACCGGGGACGATCCCAGTGCCCCACCAACACTTCGAGGTACCAACATGATGGGGAGGTAATGCTAGGGGGGGCGTGGCACTTGGAGTGCGAAGGGGTATGGGGGGGTATGGGGCATGTCGTGGTTCGACCTCTATTGCCTCAACCCCGGCATTAACTGCGGCACCCTCAGCTTGCTCACCGCCTCCGAGGTACCTATGAGGGGTGGCGCTACGGAGGTTCGTGCTAGGGATCAACTAGTGCCTACGCCAGATGCAAAGCTTGCGTTTTGAAGCACCTCACAAATTGCTCAAATCTCGCATTCTTGCTCACTCCTCCCTCCCCTCCTCCCCCACCCATCCCCACCCCCCCCCAGATCTGCATCGCCGGAACGCCGCTGGGAGCGGTGGCGTGCGGTAAGGCGCGGTCGAAGACGGTGGCGAACCGGCGGTACACGGTGGGGGCGGGGGACAGCTGTGCATCGCTGGTGGTGGTGCAGTTCCAGCGCCAGCCGCCGCTCGTGGGCGAACTCAACCGCGGCTGGATGTGCCGCTCCCAGTCCCTCTTCGCTGGCATGCCCCTCTGCATCCCTTCTTAGCACCAGTGGCGTGGCATGGCGTACCATGTCCTGCTGCATCCCTTCTTAAAGCCAATGGTATAACATCCCGTCTTCGGACTCCCAGAGCCTCTTCGCCGGCATGCCTCTCTGCATTCCCTCCTGGAGCACTCACAGCCTCTTCAGCTTGCCCCTCTGCATCCCCTCTTAGTCCCAATGCTGCAGCTTCACCATGTGGCGTAGCATGCCCCTCTGCATTCCCTCTTAGAACCAGCTGGGTGGCATGGCATGGCATGGCATGGCGTGGCATGGCGTGGCATGGCGTGGCGTGGCGTGACGTCGAGTTATGCACACGGAACTTGACTTACGAGTGAGGCAGCTCTACATGTGAAGAAATGAGAATGATTGACTAGGAAATGAGTTGGGTACAAATATGAAACCCTAGGAAATTGTACCCCATAGTGTCTACCCCACTACAGCCTACACAGGCTATGTGATAAATGTTTGACACACCCCCATAGGCAAAGTGGGGGAGAACAAGGGGTCACAAGACCGGTTAAGCAAAGCAAAGCAAAACAAGCTCAGGGTGGATCACAACGTCACCACACATTCCGAGCACAGGTTCAAATGCCACAAGGCCAGTTCACATGCAGGATTGTATATAAAAGGTAAACAAGCATGTGCAGGTATATATATAGATCACAGTACAAGTAAAGTCAAGAGGTAAGCAAGTGGGGCCAAGTAGGCACAAGACCTAGCATAGTAAAGAAGCGCTGATGATCACAAGGCTGAAGTGCCTTGGTGAAGATATCAGCAGTGTTGGCCTGAGAGGCCACGTAAGCAAGGCGCAGCTGACCACGCTGCTGCAGCTCACGAGCAAGGAAGTAGCGAAGAGCAATGTGCTTCGTTCTGTGCTCCAGTCTGTGCTCCCGACACAAGGCCAGCATAGCCTTGTTGTCTACGTACAGAACTGGAGGAGAACGAGGCGGCTCTCCCAGGTCAGTCAGCAGTCAGCAAGTAGGTGAGCCAGCGTAACTCCTGTGCAGCCATGGCCCCTGCGTAGATCTCAGCCTCACAGCTGGAGCTGAGAACAGAAGACGAGCGAGTGGACCGCCACGAAACAGAGCCGGAACCAAGGCTGAAGGTGTAACCCTGTGACGACCGCTGAGTAGCCAGGTCGTCAACCCAAGACGCGTCTGCGTGACCAGTGAGGACAACTGGACTCCGCCCTCCAAGCACGAGCCCCATGCCCGCCGTACTGCACAAGTAGCGCAACACCCTCTTCGCGGCCGCCATGTGCTCTGGTCGGCGTCTACCAGGAGCAACATAGCGTGCCAAGATGCTAAGAGGGTATGCCAGGTCAGGTCGAGTGCAGGTCATCAGGTACATGAGGCAGCCAACAAGCTGTGGGTACGGGCCACTCGGCTCTACGGACTCATCCGAAGGCAGAGCTGAGAGCGAGTGGCGAGTAGACAGAGGAGTGGCCTGAGGCGAGGAGTACGTGAAGTCGAAGCGCTGAAGGACCTGCTGCACCATGTGTGACTGAGTCAGGGTAATGGTGCGCCGTGCTCTGTCCCGGGTGATCTACAAGCCAAGATAGCTGCGCAGTTCACCCAGGTCTGTGCACGTGTGTCTCTTCTGCAGCTCGGACTTCACGTGGGCGAGTCCAGCAGTGTCAGCCGTAGCAAACACCAAGTTGTCGACGTACACGAGGATGTAGAACGGCGGCAGCAAAGTGTCGGTACGAAGAAACAGCGACGGGTCAGCGGTAGAAGGAGCAAACCCAAGAGCCGCAAGAGTAGTCCTCAGTGTGTCGTGCCACTCACGGGGCGCCTGGCGGAGACCGTAGACTGGCCGCCGGAGGCTCCACTGGGTACTTGGAGGAAACGACCCAGTGAAGCCAGGTGGGCGGCGCAGCCAGATCTCCTCGTGCAGGCTGCCCTGTAGGAAAGCAGTGCTGAAGTCAAGAGAGTGAAGCTCATAGTCACGCTGAGCAGCGACGTGCAGCAGAACCCGAAGAGTGGTCATCTTCGGGGTCGGGGAGAAGGTCTGAAAGTAGTCAACTCCCTGCCGCTGACTGAAGCCTCGAGCCACGTAACGCGCCTTGAAGACAGGCGGAGAACCCGGCGGCCGCTTTACCCTGAAAATCCACATGCCACTGACGATGTTCGCCCCAGGTGGGGGAACCTCGTCGACGTAGGTGCCTGTGGACTTCCAGGAAGCCATCTCTGCGTCCATGGCTGACTGCCACTGAGAGGAGTAGGGACCCTCTATCGCCTCTGCGTAAGAGCGCGGGGTCGGGATGTCTGGTGCATCCGGGTCTCCCTCAGGGGCAAGCAGCATGGACACGAGATGAGGTAAAGCAGCAGCAAATCACTGGAACTCCTCTTGCCTGTCCTCAAGGACGTCCGTGCTAAGAGCACACTCACCCCCGACGGACGGAGGACAGACAGACTCAGACTCAGCAACAAGACTAGCGGCGTAGTCTAGACGACAGTGAGCAGCGAAGTCGACAAGCTCGGCAACTAAGGCAGACGCAGCAATGGACTCAAAGGAAGGGTCAGTGACAACAGTGGCTAGGAAACGCGTGACAGTAGGACTGGCAGCACGAAGGGAGTCAGACTCTGGGTCAGCAAGAGCAGGAAGAGAGGACTCTGGAGGAGACGGCAAAGGGACACGCTGCGGCGCAGTGGAAGGACGCAGTGCCATCTGATGCGTGCCAGGGACCGCAGGAGGACGCGGACGTGGAGCACGACGACTAGTGCGAGCAGCACGAACAGGGGACGCAGGACGCGACTCAGGCTCACGACGCTCAGCAAGACCTCCAGTAGGACCAGCGTAGGGAGAAGGAGCAGGCAGTGGGGAGGCCAGCTGTAACTGTGACTCGGACTGGACAGGTAGTGGACACTCTAAGGAGCAGGACCAGAAGAAGGCGGAAGACCAAGAACCTGCTCAAGGAGCGCAACGAAGTACGGCCGCGGCCGCGTAGCGCCTCCAGAACCAGCAGGGACAGCACCAGCACCTGCAGCGTCATCACCAACTCCAGCAGCACCACCAGCACCAGCAGCACCACCACCAGCTCCAGGAGCGCCAACTCCAGCACCCACAAGAGCACCGGCTCCAGCAGCACCTCCAGCTCCAGTACCTCCAGTAGCACGACCAGCTCCAGCTCCGCCAGTAGCCCCAGCTCCAGTAGCACCACCAGGCCCAGCAGCTCCAGTACCTCCAGTACGAGCACCTCCGGGACCCGTGGCTCCAGCACCCCCAGCAGCAGTAGAAACTCCAGCACCGGCAGCACCACCAGCTCCAGCAGCACGGCTCCAGTGCCGAGCAAACCACTCGCGCAGCTCCTGTGGAGAGGGTAGCTCCCGCCGGGACAAAGCACCCGAAGGACCGCCAGGTCCAGCATCGGCAGGCTCTGCACCCCCACTCTCAGCACCCCCAGGCTCAGCACCCCCAGGCTCCGCACGCTCAGGCTCAGCACCCCCAGACCCAGCACCCCCAGGCTCCGCACGCTCAGGCTCAGCACCTCCAGGCCCAGCACCCCCAGGCTCCGCACGCTCAGGCTCAGCACCCCCAGAAGCACCAGAGTCAACAGCTACCTCGACAGGCTCGACTACATCTACCTGGGACACACCTGAGGGGGCAGGACCCTGAGGGGGGAGGGGGTCTACCGGGGGGGGACCGGGCGTGAGGAAGAGCGGCGGGGGGGGGAGGGGGGCAGCGCGGTAGGGGAAGAGACGGTAGTACGGAACCGACTCGTCAAACGTGACGTCCTGGGAGGACAGAACACGACGCGAGGTGGGGTGGTAAAACTGCCAACCAGGCGCGTCAGGGGGGAAGCCGAGGAAGACGCAAGGAACAGCACGGGAGGACAGCTTGTCCGCAGACAAGTCACGGACGAAAGCTCGAGATCCCTAGACACGGAACGCAGCCAACCTTCCCCGTCCACCGCAGAGTAGGGGAGGTCTCCGGCATGGAGACCCGGGGCTGAAGGTTGATCTGATGCGCCGCGTACTGAACCGCGAACGGCCACAGAAAATGGGGAGCAGCCGCATGGATCATGGACGTACGAGCGACGTCCATGACCATGCCAATGCGGCGCTCAGCAATCCCATTTTGCTGTGGAGAGGCCGAAAGCGTGAACGTCTGGCGGATGCCCTCCGCACAACAGAAGGCACGCAGAAGGTCGGAGGAAAACTCTCCACCTCTGTCGGAGTGCAGACGCAGAACAGGAAAGTCCGAGCCGAAACGATCTCTGAGCTGGAGACGAGCAACGCGGATCCAGTCGATCAACACCTCAGTGACCTCATCCTTGCGGCGCAAGGGGAAGACTGTGGTGTAACGCGAGTAGTCGTCAACCACCAGCAGGAAGTAACGCTCGTGACCCTGTCCACGGACGCGGGCTGGGCCCCACACGTCCATGTGGAGAGTCTGCAGCGGAGCCTCTGTCGGAGGAAACTCGGAGGAGTGAGGAGCGGCGCGCTGCCGCCCCTCGACGCAGGGAACGCAGGTAGGGGCAGGCCCTGGGGGAAGGGGAGGGAGGGACCGGGGGAGACCAGAGACAAGGACACGGGAGGCCATGCCTCGGAGACGAGGCAAGGAGGGGTGACCAAGGCGGTGGTGCCAGAGGAGGGTCTGGTGGGACAAGAGGCGACACGAGCAGGGGGCAGACTCACGACCTGACCGAGACGCTGCAGCAAACACCTGACTCGACGCAGCTACCTGACCAGACGCAGCAATCGGTGGAGACTCTGTGGTCAGTATGTACAGGCTCGACCCCGGTCGATGGGTAAACGTGGCCAAGTGGCGGCTCGTCTGAGCACACGTGCAGTGGGTCACTCGCTGACTCGCAGGAGTGAACTGGTCAACCCCGCCATCCTGAAGGTCAGCACCACTCACCAAGTTCGTAGAGACCGGACAGGGAGCCTGACGGGGCCGCCGGACACGGGAGGACAGTGGAGTAGTGGGCAAGGATAGGACCCTCAGAGGGGTCTGCCAGGGAGACCGCAACCGGCCGACTGAGCGGCGTAAGGGTGGTG